TGCTTAGGAAATTGACCGAGGCATTCAAAGAACCAAAAGAAACAAATTTGATTGTCATCAGTCTGAAAATGATGATGCCAAAGTAGTTAAAATGATGTAACTGCGATTAAGAAATAAGTATAAAAGACAAGTGCCAAAGGAGGAGTATAATTAGGGCTGGTGTATTATCACATATGTAACTTGTATTCTTTTGTAATTGATGATGAAACTCTCACTGACTGTAGTGGAGCAAAACATAAACAATACTCAGTATTGCATGCTTGCAATTAGGACAACAGAAGAGGGACGGAGACATTAATGCAGCATCTACTGAGCCTAACCAGAACCCTGTGGAAATACCTGTGGGCAGAAGATACCAAATACCACTTGTTCTCTTTCTGATTTTATGGCTAACAGGTAACAAAGACAAGTACTTCTTCTAAAGGAAGGTACCAAAGATGCAAAGAAGCCAAAACTTATAAAATTACATTAACAATCTCAGGGCATCAGGGCATCCAAACAATGAAGATATTATAGTATTCGTTCCTGTGTGCTATACCCTGGGAAAAAAAAAATACTAATTTTATTTATTAAAGGAGACTGTGTTTACCTTCTACACTTGAGGCTGTCTATCCCAGAACATTCTGAAGATTTGCACTTAATCAAAGTGCAGCTAACATTAAGGTCATTACTGGTAAGATTACAAAAGAATGTAAAGTAATGAAATGTATTAATGAAAACATAAGATGCATAGAAATCCTACCTACAGATTTTCTTAGGGTAGCTTGTGTTTTCAGTCTCTCTGAGCAATGCCCGTGGAAAACAATGCTGACATGAATTTTTTTGGTCATAATATCCCACCTTCTTCAAAAAGACACTATAGCATTTCAGTGGCCATGTATTGGGCATCAATCACTTCCTTTTGCCCAGCAAAATTAAGTGCTGTGTGGGATTATTTTGCTTTCTTTCACTACAAATTCAGTTTCTAGGACTGAAAAGGCAGGAGAAGGCAGCCAGTCCTTTCTTTGGATGCAGGTAAGCACTGCTGCCAGCCAGGGCACAAACAGGGGATTGCCCATGACTGGTGAGCTGTGAGTCAGTAGGTTCAGGGCAGCTTTTTGGTGACTGGTTGCTGGAGATCTGACTTATACTGCTGGCAAGATGGTCTTACGGAGCAGCAGGGAAGGTCCTGCCTTAGCTATTCCTCTGTGATTGCTCAGTAACATGATGGGAAAATCCTCATGGTGTTTGCTTATCCACTGCCTAACCAGCTTAGCTGCTTTTGTTTCAGTTTATTCTTTAGCAGTCTCTCAAAAGTGCTAAGCTGTATTGACTGAGCTACCCTGAGTGGAAAATAAATCCTGTTTTGGGCTTCTAGCCTGGGCTTAGATTTGATGAGTCTAGTACATGGGAAATAGGAATGGGATAAGAAGGGAAAGTTTTCAGATATGATGCCAGTGATATTTCTGTGGAGATGCTGAGAATGGCCCAAGTGACTCAGGGCCTCTATTTGGCAGTGTATCAGAAGCTTTTAATTGATGCTGTATATGGAGATGTTTCTCTAATAAACACTTACTGAAAGTAGTTTCATGGAAAGGAAGTGGCAAGATAGAACATGGTTTTGTAATCTGCTTTCTCATGTTGGCTGTGGCCTGCCAGGATTCCTGCCCCACTTGCACTTGGTAGCCAGAGCACTACTTCTTCACCTACTTCTTTCATCTTCATAAAGTGATGCAATCCTCCCTAGTCACAATGAATCTATGTCCTCTCCTGTGATACAGAAATCACAACAACCCTGCCATTTAACTTGCACATTCAATGTATTTGCTTTCATTCATACTAGTATGAAGACAACCCTGCAGATATTAGCAGAAATACTGAAAAATTAAAATCCAGCCACACCAAATGAAAATGGCGTAGCTTAAGACATAGAATCTGAGCGTGGAACATACACTGCTTAGTTGATTTATTTTATCTCTCTTTATGAAGAGAGAGCCAGTGTGATTCAAGCCCACCATCGTTTTTAATTTTTTCTCTGATGGCCTCTGTGCTGCTGTTAAAAAGCCAGGAATTAGTGAGCACTTCTGTCCTGCCCCGTGGCTGAGCAGATGAATGTGAATGTGCGGAGTCCCTTCCCAGCTTGCAGCTGTTTTGTAGCAGGGCTGGTGTGTGCTCTAGGAACAAAAGCAGACAAAGGGTTGGCTTGTCTGCACGCTGCTGCCTTTACTCGTGTCCAGATTTGGGCAGGATGGTGGTGGAAGGCTTTTCACACTTCTGGCTCCCGTTTCCCCTTTGTGTGATGACTCTGCTCGTTTCAGCTGTAAAATTAGTCATGTTCGTAAGTGCTTGTGCCAAGCTAGCGGGTTCTTGTCTTCAGGGAGGTTATAGTCATGAACCATGGCTTTTGTTAGAGGAAATCAATGGTCTGTTGGCAGGTTACAGGATTGAAACTGCAGAGAAGAGGTACGCGGAGCCCAGTGGGCTGTGTTTGTTTGCCTTTGGGTGGCATTTTACTCATGCCAGTGTCTGGACACTCTGCTTTCTCCTAATCAAAATTTCAAATAAATTCTCACAGTGTAGGCAGTGGGTTTTGTATGGCATGTTGCTTGATTTCTCCTCCCTACCTCAATAATACAATAATCACTGGAGATTAGCTTACAAGTAAAGCTAGATTTGACTTCTGAAACAGTGATTTTCAAGTACAAACAAACAAAAAATAATCAGTGGCTTGGCAACTTTGCCACATGTCTGTGCATGGTACCAGACTCCCCCACTAATGTTTGTATTTCCAGGAAGGTACAAAGAAAGATCAATAGTGTAAAGCATTAGCAAGGACCTTCTCTGTATTGTAATTTGAGAGGCTAGAAATGAAGCAGCAACCAAAGAGGGTTGTTACACAATGAACATAGAAATGGAATTTGCATGTTATTTCAGTTTATAGGTAATTTTTGTTAACTAACATTACTTACCACCGTGCACTTTTCTTGAAAGACAGCAAATGTTAGCTACTGTCAAAGCAAGTTCTTACCTGCTTTTTGAAGAGTTACGACTATGTTTTGATGCACTCTGACAGTAAACAGTGTGTTCAATAACAACCTACTCCCAAGTTGCACTTCTAAATTGGTGCTGAGCTTCTCACTTTCTAGAAACCACAGTATTATTAAAATATGCATTTAACAAGTCCCCAGAGGGTCAAAGGATAAAAATAAACCAGCTGCAAAGTTTTATATTCGTATTAGATTGATATGCAGCCGATTTGCAGGTAGTCTCTATCTCTGTCTACATGTCTGTAATTACTGTGAGTCGCTGTATATCTGATATGCAACGCAAATTACTAGGCCAGATTAAATTCTGGACTATCTAACCTTGCATATTTTAATGTGTTTGTTTTCATCTACATCTCCAATGATGGCTGTTTGTTGTTTTTTTTTTTTATTATTATTTTTTATTTAATATTCATGATTTTCAGTATATGTTTCTGCTTGTATTACTGAAAAGAAAAACTTTGGTGAAGCCTTACAGTATATTCTAACTTTGGGGATCATGACACCATTAATCCACACATTGATGGATGTCTGATATGAACTCTTACTGGCGGGGGGAATGGGCAGGAGCTGTATGTTAGTGTTTACCACCCACTGAAGAATCTCAGCATCTGCTAGTAACAATATTGATTTTTCTGAAACTTACCTGTGCACCATCTTCATCAGTTTTCTTTGATTCAGGAGCTCCAGTGTTTCACTAAAGACTTTTTTTCATCTGCTTTTTCAAAGGTTGCATGGATACTTCCTACTTTTTGTGCTTTTTCAGTTCCCAGTGACCCTGACATGAATGTTTTCTAACTGGGAAACTTGGATTTGAGGTTATATTTGAAAGCAAAGCAGATATAAGTCTTGTAGTTAGGTTTTGGAATTTTGCTAACATTAAACCAACACAGAATTCATTATTCTGCTTCCTAGAACTTTTGAGGAAATTAGAGAACTTTGCGGTTTGATCTAACTGTTGAAAGTCTGCTTTTCTGTTTTATTTTAAGATACTTTATACTGTAAGGAGTCAAGCTCATGAGATTAGAAGGTTATCCTGAAGAAGTCACACTACGTGTCTGAAATCACCCAGCTGTTACGAGCCTTTCCAAAGCAGTGGCAAATGACAAATACTGTAGCAATACTCAGTCATGCTGACCTTGTCATCTTTGGTTTTGCACTTGTTTTAGAAGCTTTCAAAGTATTTCAGGATGACCTGTTTTTTTTTAAGATCCACTAGCTGTGGCAATGTCCAGTTTGTGAGTCTTAATGCCATCAGCTAGTTCTCTCTTTTCACTGAGTATCTTAGTGGGAGATAATACGCCTTTTTGTGTTAGTGGTATCTCTCCATGTTGGAGTTTCACCTATAGCCAAGCTAGCAGATCCCACAGATGAAAACAAGGATTGTTAAGATAACTTCCTGAATTTGGAAGTAGTAGGAGCCAAACAGCTGGAAGTATGCTTGTGAATCTGTGTTAGATGTACGTTACAGAGGATCACTCGTCTTTAGTTCAGCAGACTCCTTTTGCTGAACTCCTGAGCCTAGTGCATACTCATGTCTGCAGAAAGGACAGAAGATACTGGTGCACTTGTGAGGAGCAATAGTGGCTTCATTCATCAGCTCAGCAGAATTTAACTAAATTAGGTAAAAGTTTACAGGAGAAGTTCTCATACTGGAAATGCTGTGGCTCCCAAGCATCAACAACCAGACTAGGTTTGCAGTGTAAGAGCTGGGAGTTAAGACCTATGTTTTCTAGGAAGAAGGTTTTGTGATTATTTTATGAATTCAAAAGTGAGTGCTAATGAGTGCCCCTTTTCATGATCACTGTAACTGTGGCATTTTGAAGTCCTTACAGCCACGAGCAAAGCTGACAGAAACCTCTAGTATTTAAAAGTTGGGGTTGCTGAGGCAGCCTCATTTCAGGCCCCTTAAGGTTATGCATTATGCTACCAGCTTGCATACATTTTTTTCCACTCAGAATTTTTCTTACCATTATTCTAATGTTTATGAACCTTTCAGTGTTTGACTTCGCATTGCTAACTTTTCTCTCACATCAGACTTTTCTTAGGGTGTGGAGTTATCTGGAAATGTACAGATTTCCTGGGATTTTTAAAAAGGAAGTCACCCTTTAAGCTGAGGAAGTCACATTCTTGAGTCCTCCTGACCACCTTTCATATGGATCCTTACCAGAGATAAGGAATCCTAATGCTTTTCTCATATATTTTAGCTAAAGGAATGACTGGTAGTGGTAGAAACCCAAGAGGCTTAAGTTTCCTAAAATGCTAAACAGCAAAGCCAGACATGTGTAAGGCAGCCTGGCCTACCAGCATCTCTTCGTGGGTAACATAAAACGCTCTCCTTTTTCATTTCCTTTTCCAGTCTGAGAGGCTGAATATAAATGTGAATATGCTCCGAGAAGAATCAAAGTTCCAGGCCCATAACACTGGAACAGTTTCAGTTCTTTCTGCCAGCAGACGCAGCCTTTGTTCTCATAGCAGCTATTCATCTGCTTTTCAGTTGGATGGGAATTGCATTCAGTCTTTTCCCAGTTCCTTTGCGGTGCTCCCTGAGGGATACTGTCTTGAGCCTCCTGTATGAGGAACTAAGCACTCACGCTTTTCAGGAGCTGCTGAACTTCTTAGAAGACCTAGACCATGTAGTAAATGACAAAGTATTATTCTAATAAAAGAATATGTTGGAGGAGAAAATAATTTAATATTTAAGCAAAGCACTTGGAGCAGCCTAGACACTGTTCTTAAAGAGTGTCAGGCATTTGAAAAGACACCGAGGAACAATAAGAACATACTTTTAAAATCAAAACCTTATGGAAAAAGATTGTTGGGATTGAGAGGATGGAAGACAGATTTCAGCTCTACCAGCTGTAATTAAAACCGTAAGCTTCTGTTGGGATCCTGTTAAAAAGAAATCTAAGAATCCTTATGGATATCATTATTTGACTGATGCACCACTGAAAGAGAGAAGAAAGCTCCAGTGTCACAAGTTGCTCCATGTGGGCAAACTCCTTTACTCACCACAAACTTCACTAATTTTACTAATGATTAGGTTAATGCTTTGAAGGGAACTAACTGGCAGCTTTGTGGAGCCTTAGTGCTTGGCTTGGTCTCTGCTTTATAATTTTACTGATATAGACTTATGTTGGTCGGGGGATGTTTTATGATGATGGTGAAAACACTAGAGTGGGTCTGGCAAGACAAGCAAATAGGCTGTGCTGTATGTCTGCTTGGTGCCTGCACTGTGCTGCTGTAGCACATGGGATTGATGCATGACTTCATATGCTGTGCAACAGGACTTGCATTTGCACAGAGGTGAGGATTGCTGGCTTCACTCCCCAGACCTGTGCTCCAGCAGAGCAGGGTCCTGCACCTGCATCAGCCCATCCACAGTCCCAACCGGGGGTGTATGCACCCATCTCACTGCAACAACTTGGAGCATGTAGACCTCATAGTGTGCAAGGAGACATGGTGTCAATGTGCAGCTGCCTGCAGAGATCCACCAGCACTTACAAGCAGTTGCCTGCTTATAATTGATAAGGGTCGTTCCAGCTCTTTGAATGTTGAAACTGTATAGGTAAGAGATGTGCTGTGAAAACGGTGTCCTCTTTGACCATTGTAACTTTAATAATCTCTTCTTTATCTCTCTCTTTTTCTGAAAGTGAGTAGCCAGCCGTTGTCTCAGGAAAAGAGAGAAACCAAGAGCAAAAGATGTCCAGTGAAAGGGGTTTTATTTTCTTCTCTTTCTTGCCATGAAAGAGTTCATTGTTCCACCTCCACAGTTTATTGCTGGCTGTGGAGAAAGAAACAGATTACTGAGTGCAGGCAGAGGAGAAGAATGGTATTGAGCTAGGATGAACAGGGGTTTTCATCATGACAAGAACTGGCCAGATAAGAAATCAGTTGATTTCGCGTCAAATGACTGATGTTATGTTTTAATATTTCAGTAGTGACTGTGCTACCTCTGATGCCTTTTGGAACTGTTTGTACTTTGATTTAATCTGGAATTAGAGCTTTCAAACAGAATCAGTAAGCCCCTAAGGGGAACAGTTACTTGTCAGCTGTGATTACATTTAATTAGTGCAAGCGGGAAATTTGCCATTTTCCCTCTTAATCATAGTTCACTGAGCTCTACTGAGTCTTTCTGGGGGTCTGTATTGCCTTTTGATTCTCTGGGTGCTGAGTTACATTAAACCATATTTTAAGGTTTCATATTCATAAACCATATTCTTAAGGTTTCATAACAATTACTGTTAACACAGAAAAATATATCAGACAAGGTAGAAAATTCTCCCTTCTGCAGTACATAGAGAATGAATTTATTTTCCTTTTTCTATGTACAAAAGTAGCAGTGAAGAAATGTGGCTGAACAAATTAAGGTTAATTGGTATTGTTTTTTCTAGTAATTTTGACAGCACTTTCTAGATGGGATTTTTTACCAGTAGAACTGTACTGATGTAATTATACTGCTATAGTTACACTGGAATAAATTCCTGTATGAGCAGTCTTAGTCAGGAACGAGAGTATTCATGTAAGGATTTATACTGATATAGCTCTACTGAGGTAATAATACCAGCATTTGACCTACAGATTTCTCCATGTACATGAAATCTTAGCAAAAATGTGTAGCTTGAAGACTTACATCCGGTATACAGCAAGACTTGGAGTTATCTGCAATGGGGCACTGGAGATTGGCTCAACTACTCACCCTTTTGTTCCACTTATCTGTCGGTTCCTCTTCTGAGCATTAACCATTAAAGCTTTTCATCATCACCTGGAAAGGTTCTTTGTCAGTGAAACAATACAGATGTTTTATGATGTTATCCAATACACTGTATTTTTTTCTTCAAAATATACGGCATACACTGAGCAAAAACAACTTGAGAGACATCTGTAGTTAATTTTATTCTGAAGGAGTGGAACTTTCAGGGTTTTCTGTAGGCCAGGGACATGAACAATGACATGAGCGATCTGTATTTGATGTATATTGGTTAAAAATCTGTAGGTGTTGCTGCTGTAGGCTGGATAGTTACTATGACAGTATGTGTAAATAGTGCGATTTATGTGCAAAGTCATAGAATCATAGAATAGTTAGGGTTGGAAAGGACCTTAAGATCATCAAGTTCCAACCCCCCTGCCGTGGGCAGGGACACCTCGCTCTAAACCATATTACCCAAGGCCTCATCCAACCTGGCCTTGAACACTGCCAGGGATGAAGCATTCACAACCTCCCTGGACAACCTATTCCAGTGCCTCACCACCCTCACAGGGAAGAATTTCCTCCTTATATCCAATCTAAACTTCCCCTGTTTGAGTTTTAACCCATTACCCCTTGTCCTACCACTACAGTCCCTAATGAAGAGTCCATCCCCAGCATCCCTATAGGCCCCCTTCAGATACTGGAAGGCTGCTATGAGGTCTCCACGCAGCCTTCTCTTCTCCAGGCTGAACAGCCCCAACTTTCTCAGCCGATCTTCATATGGGAGGTGCTCCAGTCCCTTGATCATCCTCATGGCTCTCCTCTGGACTTGTTCCAACAGTTCCATGTCCTTTTTATGTTGAGGACACCAGAACTGCACACAATACTCCAAGTGAGGTCTCACGAGAGCAGAATAAAGGGGCAGGATCACCTCCTTCGACCTGCTGGTCATGCTCCTTTTGATGCAGCCCAGGATACGGTTGGCTTTCTGGGCTGCAAGTGCACACTGAAGCCGGCTCATGTTCATTTTCTCATTGACCACCAGCCCCAAGTCCTTCTCCACAGGGCTGCTCTGAATCTCTTCTCTGCCCAACCTGTACCTGTGTCTGGGATTCCTCCCACCCAGGTGTAGGACCTTGCACTTGGCATGGTTAAACTTCATGAGGTTGGCATCAGCCCACCTCACAAGCGTGTCAAGGTCCCTCTGGATGGCATTCCTTCCCTCCAGCGTATCAACCGAACCACACAGCTTGGTGTCATCAGCAAACTTGCTGAAGGTTCACTCAATCCCACTGTCCATGTCAGCAACGAAGATGTTAAACAAGACCGGTCCCAACACCGATCCCTGAGGGACACCACTCCTTACTGGTCTCCAGCCAGACACTGAGCCATTGACCACAACTCTTTGTGTGCGGCCATCCAGCCAGTTCTTTATCCACCGAGTGGTCCATTCATCAAATTGATGTCTCTCCAATTTAGAGACAAGGATGTCGTGTGGTACAGTGTCGAACGCTTTACACTAGTCCAGTTAGATGACATCAACTGCTTTATCGCTGTCCATCAGTTCTGTAGCCCCATCATAGAAGGCCAGCAAATTGGTCAGGCAGGATTTCCCCTTAGTGAAGCCATGCTGGCTGTCACCAAGCACCTTGTTGTTTTTCATGTGCCTTAGCATGTCATGATTAATTTAAAGTATATTTGTAGGTCTGCATTTACATTTGACTTCCTCTTCTACTTCAAAGGTTTGTAATATAATTTGGTCTTCATTAACTCTTGATAAATACTTTCAGTTGATTTCAGTGTTGCATAACCACATTCTAGCAGCATGGACAGCACAGGAAGGAAAGATTAATTTTTTGGGTCAATATTGATTGTACATAGGGACTTTTGTGCATGTTGAATTTACACAGTAGTAACTCAAACTGCATTGATTTAAAAAAAAATCTGCATATAGGCAGTATATTCCCCTAGTTTAACATAAGTGACAGTTGCTATACTGGTGTTTTTTGTTTTTGGCTTTGCTACCGTAAAAATCTGAATGATGAGCAGCAGAAAATTTACATTCAAAGCATTTCAGAGGTTTCCTGGAACACTGCTGCTAAACACTGTACAACATCTGCAAACTGATGTTTGGTTACCTATGTGAACATGACAGAATGAAGGGGAGAGGTTTGGGTTTGGAAGGCTTAGATATAGAGGACAGTCAAAAAGGCAGCAGGATAAGGAGGCAAAACCAAAGAATTGCTGAAAGAGTAAAATTGCTATAATCAGGGAACTGGAAAGGCATTGCAGAAGCACATCTTATTGGATAAATGAACTAACAAAGCATGCTTTCTTGTTCCTCTTTAGTGTCTGACTGCCTTTACATTGACCTGAAATCCCACCAGCAGCAGACTGAAAACCCCATGTGTGAGGAACAGCTGCTCATAAGAATATGTGCCTCAGAACCTCCAGTAATAGCTGGGAAAAAGAAGAGGCATTGTCAAGCAAAGCAACAGGTTTATTTCATCTGTATTAATAATATATTACATGTAATAGCTTTAGGCAGCTGATACTGCTTGAGAGCATACAAGCTCAGTGGTGAGTGTATCAGATGTCCCACTTAGATGCAGAGGCTACAAAGCGACAGTCTGGGTGTAAGGGGTGCCATTCTCAGCTGTGGACACTACACAGGAAGCAGTGTAATGGAGGTTATGTTTACTCTGCAGAACAAGTGTTCTCTGGGGTCTATCGCTCAGGTCCTGATCCTGTGATCACCTCACTCAGTGAAGCTCTTGCATAGCGTGATTTCACTCTGGCCTCTGTGCTTGGGTTTCCTTTGTATGGAAAGCAGGATACAGGGGATGCTGCGGACTGTATTGCATCCTGATACAGCATTGCTATGTGGCTGCGTGTTCACCCAGGCTCCTGCAAAGGATCCAGGCCCCCACAGTCTCGTAATGGCACACACTAGCCCTGCTCTGCACTGCCACATCTAGCCCTGGCTGATAAATTATAGGCAGAGTACTGAAGCAGTGAAGAAATAGCCAGTTGCTAAATATGAATTAGGTTTGCATTTGCATTTGCTGTAATTAGACATATTTATCTTGTACTTTGACATTGTTCCACTTAATAAACCTCCGTTTCTTTGTATCATGAAAAGTGAGGTAGTAGAAGCAATGAGAGCAGAGAAAACCAAAGTGAATCAGTGTGGTGAATCAGTGAACCAAAGTGAAGCTGTGAGGTGTACTGCTTCAAATGAAATATGAGATCAGAGTTGTCTGCAGGCAGTTTTCATAGGCCTGGACACTTCATAGACCTGGCAAGCTTAGGGGCTGGCAAGATATTTCCTGCTGCTCTGCAAAGGATCAGTACAAAGGCTGGTGCTGCTGGTCACGGAACTGGGTGAACATTTCCGTTTGAACAGGCATGAATGACTTTGCTTCCTGCAAGGAATGTATCTTGAAGTGTCATAACCCTTCAGCTAGTGATTCCTACTGTAGTGAAAACAGTGGCCCATGGAAGCTGAGTTGCTTTGATTCCTCTGGAAGTGAAGCTGATACTTCATGGAATTCTTCAGCTGCTGGGGTTCTCCAGGGGGATCCAGGAGGCAACAAGGAACCTTGAAACCAACGATTAAAGTTTCCAAATGGAGACATCTCTGATACTACAGTTCAAGCCCCCATTGTTTGCACAGCAGGTAAGCAGTTGCAGTTTACAAAAGGCAGAGATATTGTTTGTTCAGGTATGTTTTGATTTTCTCTTTTTGCCCATTAAACAAAACGCTCATGGCCAGAGAGAGCTCTTTTCCCATTCTTTTAAGAAAATACCATTTTACAAAACACTGGAGGAGGTATTCCACAGAGACAGACACCATTTCTTTGTGCCAATAAGACAGAGTCCTTAAATAGATCACATAGATAAATAGAATAAAGGTTTTATCTTGTCAGCAAGTGTCTCTCATACTGCTGTACTCTCAATAGGGCACACTGCAGGTGCAGCAAAAGCATGGGCCCAGGAAACCATGGGCCTTGGCTAGTGGTGTGACACCACATGGGCCATGGCAAATGACCCAGTATGTTAGTCAAAAAACCTCTTTGCCAAATAAATGTATGAGCATCTACGTGAGAGATCCCTTATACTGTACCCCTAGCAATTTTCCCATAGGAGATGGTGTCTCCTAGTTCACTCAGACTGCCTGGAAAATCAGTGTCTTTTTCTCTCTGCAATGTGCCCTATACAGCTCCAGACAATATTGCAGCCAGCACATCAGAACTGGGTTCTGAGGTTGATATTGAACACCAGGGATCATTGTTATGAAAAGCATGCTCTGCAGGTTACCTTGCAGCTGCTTTGGTGACTGCTAGAGAGTTCCTGGTATAAGCGCATCTTCATCAGCTGTGCTATCTGGAAGAAAGCAGGAAGACTCAGGACAGGAAAACACACAGTAATGTCTACATCCAAAGAGGTAGTAATGATCGAGGACTGCTGAGGGCAATACAATGGCAATATCTGTAATTCAAGGGGCGTACCCACCTTCTTCACAACAGTTCTGCTTCTTGGGCTTCCAGCACTGTATTGGTTAGCACCTTCAGCCCACAGCAGAGCATCACCAACTTCAAAATGCCCTAGGTGCTTGCAGGAGGTCACCTGTGTGTATGTTACTTATGTGAAGTGCACAGATGTCTATCATCTGCAGCCACAAGCTACTCTTTTTGCCCTAACAATGCCTCTTTATTGCTTCTAGAATAACAGTGTGCTAAATGAAGCTATTCTGTGGCTGTTCTTCTCACTGAAGCGGCTATGCAAACTTCTTCTCTTTCCTTAGCCTCATGCTTATTCTCTTTCCTAGGCAGCTGCAGATGAGGCAGAGGAACCTGTGATCGTGGCCACTAAAGCTACTGTCACAGCTGTTGACTAGCACAGTACTTGGCTTGTGGCCAAGTGATCAGTGATCAGTGATCACGTGTCATGTCAAATCAGTGTCATGTCAAATGTACACGTGCCATGTGTGGAGTGTGTCTGCCTGCCTGTCAGGCTGAAGCGTGAGTCACCTTTACAGTGGCTGTGGCTGTTCACTGACTCAGGCTGTTCTGAAGACTCAGATGATGAGATAGTAGAACTTCCCAGGATTTTTCTTGTGTGATCATGAGATGGGGTGCTGCAGTTTTTAGTTGCTTCATGGCTGACATCCAATTGCTGGAAAAATGCTGCCTTGAATGGAGATCAGCACTGTTATAAGCAAGTGAAGCCATCAGGGGGAATCTTCATTTTCTGAAAGCATTAGCTCACAGTAAAATGAAAGCTGTTGGGATGCTGCCTCTCTGTGCCTGCTCAGATGGCATGCTAAAAATGAAGTACATCACCTTGATGTAACCTGAAGAAAGCAGACAAGCTCTAAATCTTCTCTGTATTGGGTTGGCTTGGGTTGATGTCACTGAAATAAATGGACTTGCACAAGTGAGCTGTATTTATTCATTTCAACTTCCCTAGACTGCTTTTTAAAGAGGTGTTGACTTGTTTGATGTGATCCCAAGCCTAGATGCTGGCCATGACACTAGAATTTAGCTTCTTTTCAGCAAACAAAGTTCAGCAGTCTGGGAGTGCTCCTGCCTTTTTGTACCAAGGCCCCAGCTTTAAGCTGGTGATGAAGTCTAGCAACAGGACTCTGTTACCACAATATCTGGAAAAAAAACAAAAACAAACAAACAAACAAACAAACAAACAAAAAAGAAAAAACAAACCTAAAACTAGCTACCAATCCCAGACCAGTTATGCTAAATGGAGTTGTGCTGTCTTCCCTTTTCTGTTCCAAGTTATGGCCTATGTACAGAATGGTAAGATTTGTGTTTTGCCATGAAATGCCATAGACCAGAATTATGACTGGGTCAGAGAATAGAGGCTGAGCTGCCAGGCCCACTGAACACCATCACAGCACTCAAGAGATGCTGCTGGGCAAAGATACTTCAAATCCCTTAACACTAATTCAGAAAGCCTGCCAGCAGTTGGCCTGGAAATGCAGGCCATTTATCTCACTGCTTCAATATTGCTACACAAATGCCACAATTCTTTTTCCTCAGCAGCTCTGTGAGAAAAATTATTACTTGAGTGCATGAAAATAAAACCAGGCTGCCACTCGGGACACTGGTAGAGCCAATGCTAAGAGAAACAACTGGGAGCGAAATCCTATCTTCTGTTCACAATTTTCTTGTCTTCATTTCAGTGTCCAGCTTTCTTTGTAATGAAAACCAAAATTTAATAAAGAGAAGCTACATTTGCTGAGTTTGACTGTTGTGAGATAGAATTACTTTTTATCTTACTCAGCTGTTCCTTACTTATTCACTATGCATTATGTAAGGCCACAGTTTCAATCCTCTCCCAAAAAGCATGAAAGAAGACATGCGTGTATGCACATGTGTGTTCAAGCTGTCTCTGTGTGTGGTAAGAGCATGCCAAGAACATTGTCATCGTTACCAAAATGCAAATGAGTAAAAATAACACAATATGGAATAATCTATTTTACATGTGCACAGGGTGTGCATGCAGATTGTATTGGTGCAGCTTAGATGCCCAACCTTTAAAGCCTTGTTCTACAGTGTCTTTACACAAAGCTTTCTGTAAGCTATGTTGTATGCTCATGTCTTGTTATTTGATTTTGCAAAACGTAAAGACACCGTGTATCTTCCCCATGTCTGCCTGGGTAAAAGGGAGCAGGTATAATAATTAGCATCTTGCAATCGTGACTAGCCACACTGGAGGAGTGGAGAGGAATATAGTGATTAGAAAATTGCAGTATCTGGTTAGCATTCAACATTAGTGCTAACGCAAAAAATACTTGATCAATTATTTAAACCTGAACACATTTTCAAAGTTCAGGGCCCTTTAGTGTCCTTCCTGGAACTGACAACATGAGAAATCAAAACTCTGGGCAGTTTTCCTTTAAGGCTACTGGGGCCTCTTTCTGTTCTCTCAGGATCGTGTGATTTGCTCAGACATTTTTAAAAATAATATCGTAAGTATAAACAATTAAAGGTGGAGCCTAACCTACCACATCAGCACTGCTCGAGTCTCTACTGAAGCTGAACTCTTCTTATGGCTGACACTGAAGTTCTTCTGTGAACCCTAGGACTTGTCACAGTCCCTTGGGGAATGGTTATCAAAACCTGGCGGTTGCTTAATACTTGTAACTATGATAAGTCTCTGTGGAACTATAAAATTACAGGCAGTTTTGCACAGGTGTCTTTTAAATGACAGCAGAGCGTCCCTTTTTCCTCCATTCAGATTTGATTAGAAAACTCCCTCCCACACTTTTCCCTGCTTTTAAACTAGAACACAATATGTTTTCCTCTCTCAAATAAAATTTATTTTAAGGAGTTGTGTGTAACAGGTTTATGCATATGATGAATTGGAAAATACTTATACTTACATTAAGAACATGTTGGGGTTCAATCAAGGGTGTACACTGTATGTACTTTGGTATACATGAAATTAACAAAATAAGAATGTTTTTGCCATATATCTGGACTTGAAAAACAAAAATAATATGTACAAGGTAAATTTCTGAGAAACTTTCTGTTAGAAAATGCACAGTAAAAGTGTGTAAATATAAAAATTCTGAAGAAATCAGGCCTGTTCTGCTGCTGGATCTACTCTCAGAAAAGTAAACAGGAAAATGTCTGAACCATATGAAGATTTCCCAATCAATATTTAGGCTGCATATCTACAGTTTTTAATAAATAACTTTCCAAGTATTAAGTATGTGTACACCGTACCTTACAATATATATATAATGCAACATAGCGATTGAAAAAATGAAATTAATAAAGGATAATTTGAAGATGTTCTGACTTTTCCAACACTTCCCTTTTCTCCCCAGGTCCTGAAATTTCCTCCCTGAAGAATTTTGAAATTTGGGGTTGCTGGCCCTACAGAGGGATAACAAGTGAATATCTTTCCTAAAACTTAATTCCTGGCATGGCTTAGTACAAGTGATGACTGCGGTATTGACAGAGCTTTGGTGGTCATATTAGATTGGATATAACACTTCAAAGAAAGTGATTTGAGACAGCCACAGTCTAGAAAATATGTTTTAGGGAACAAGCTAGCACAAGACTAGATGAACCAAAATGGCTTTCCCATCTTGTACTTTTCTGATTCTGCAACCCTGTTTTGTGTTCTGTTAACCCATTAAAGTAAGCTTTGCATGCTCACCATTGATTTGCAGCCTTGCAGTCAGAAAAATGAGGTGTATTACTCATGCTCAGCGTGCTGCCTGGCACTAGTAGGGTGTGCTGTGATCTGACACTGTCAGAACATTCTAAACCACCATTCTGAGCCTTTCTCCAAGGTCACCAAGTAATTTAGGAGATAATTAACAGCAGAGTAAGATTTTCTCACCTTCTGGTATGCCAGCTAGGGCAACATTTTCCATAATCAAAGAGGATGGATGCACCTGAAGATTTTTCTTACATCAAATGCTGAATCAACTGTGAATGATAACCCACGCAAATTCTTCTAATTTCTATGGCATTACCACCTTTGTAGTATTAGGAAAGGAGCTGCAGGTGGGAAGGTAATGAATACAAGTATGCTTTCTAGACTCTGGTCTTTTAAACTGGGCTTTTGGCATACTGAGCACCTGGCTTGTTCTGAAGTGGGATATTTATTGCAGAACTATATAGAAAGGCTGCTTCAGGAAAGATACATTATATAGAAAGGCTGCTTCTAACAAGCACATACAATTACATGTGAATAAGCATGGTATTTTAAGAATGCAGAAGATGACATTCTTATAAACAGGAAAACTGAGATATCTTTCAGTTTCCATTACAGGAAGATCTAAACAGCAAGAGGAAACTTCAGATTTTGCCTTGCAGTATCTTATTTGTAGATTCTAGTTTTGTAAACAGACTGCATGAGATGTAGAAACATACGGGAAAGCCTGTTGTTCCTCAGTAAAGGTTCAGTCATGCCTCTACTAGCTGAAGTCTCTTGCTGTACCTTTGTGTAATTCTGCCTTTTTTAATAGCTGCTTACCATCTACATCAGCCGCCATCCTGTTCTGTGTAGAGCTACTTTGAAAATTTGAGAATTTAACTTCAGAAAGCAAAAAACTGTTACTGCTGTGAATCTGTTCTTTTGATGTGGCATTTGACAGGGGTGAAGTAGCAGAAGTGGAAACAAGTGGAAAGAAGCTTCAACATCTAGAGAAGTTGCCAAGGGCATGCGAAGGAGGTAATGCCATGAAATCAGGGAGAAGCTGCATGTTAAGAAAAGTTTTCTAATTTGGGAGCCATTAGGCTTGTGCATTGCCAAAGAACTGGTGGATGTCGGTATGCAACTTTTACATAGTTTTTTTTACAAAACTGAAAGCAGTGCTGAATATATGTCAGGGAATGAGGCTGGCCTGGCAGTAGAAGGATAGAGAAGCTGACAGATCTTCTCTATCCTTAATTCTCACAATTTGTATTCCACTAGCTTGTACATAGTAAAGGAAAGGAAACTCAATGCCAGCCAGTTTTACTGATGGGATTGTTTTCAGCAGTTAGTTTGTGTCTGCCAAGAACCACTTGCACAAAGTCCTTAACCCTTCAAACATGGAGACAGTTTGGCATGCAGGGCCTCACTGATACTAATGAACAAAACAATCCACCTTTTCAAGAACTTTACTTTCTCCTTGCTGGAGGGCAATATTCCACTTTGTAAGCAAAACAGCTGTAGCAGCCCTGTAGTGTTGACTCTTTGCACTCAAAAATCACAGGACGTCTAAGCAGTTGCACAGCTGTAACATACTTTGGCTTCTTTAATGGTCTTTCTACCTTTAATCTTTTAGTGTTCACAATATTATTACTTTTATTCTTCAGCAGGAATAATAAAGGCTAAAATCTTAGAAATAGCAAAGATCCCCATAATGAATGCATACATCAGGAACTAAATTCCATTG